GAGATCGGCTGAATGGATTTGAAAACGGTAAAACGCAACCATTTAACTCTAGGGGAGTTGGAAAATTAGCCTATTTTCAAAAATAGTGGAGTGTTCCTTTAATAAACAAATTCCAGCTGGTCCAAAATGCAGCAGCTAGAGTTCTTACTAGAACCAGGAAGTACGACCATATTAGCCCGGTTCTGTCAACTCTGCACTGGCTTCCTATTGAATATCGAATACATTTTAAAATCTTGCTAATTACTTATGAAGCCCTGAATGGTTTAGCTCCTCAGTACTTGAGTGAGCTCATATTGCATTATAGTCCTATAAGTCCACTGCGATCTCAAAACTCTGGCCATTTGATAATACCTAGAATATCAAAATCAACTGCGGGCGGCAGATCCTTTTCCTATTTAGCGCCCAAACTCTGGAACAGTCTTCTTGGTGTTGTTTGGGAGGCAAACACAATCTGTCTAGTTTAAAGTTTAAATCTAGATGAAAGACCCATCTGTTTAACCTGGCATATACATAACACACAAATCACTTTTGAATAATTCAGATCCGTTAAAGGATTGTTAGGCTGCATTCATTAGGTCAACCGGAACCGGGAACACTTATACACCCATAACCCTGATGTATTCGTTACATCATAAGAAGAATGGCATCTACGCTAATATTAGTCGGTTTCATTCTTATTCTGAGGTCACCCTAGCCACCAGATCCAGTCCATATCCAGTCCAGATGGGGGATCAGCATCTAGAGACGACCTCTACAGATGAACCCTAGAGACAAATCCCTTGTGAAGACGTCATCAACTAGACGGCCATCAGGACAAGACCATGAGAACCAGAGGAGTCCTCTGCACAATCTGACTCGTGTTGCAGCCTGGAATTAAACCACACCATGCTGGTTTCATCTGGCCAGAGGAGAACTGGCCCCCCGACTGAGCCTGGTTTCTCCCAAGGTTTTTTTCTCCATTTCTGTCACTGATGGAGTTTTGGTTCCTTGCCACTGCCGCCTTTAGCTTGCTTCATTGGGGACACTTAATTTCTGACAATATTGTCAACTTGATAGCACAAACACTATTCGAAGAGAACTGAACTGAGCTGGACGATGACATCACTGAATCAAAGATGAACTGACTTTAACAGAAAAATGTACGGTTTAATATTGTCCTCCTGCATTACCGACACACTGTTTCCCTGTTTAATACTGTAAAGCTGCTTTGACACAATCTGTGTTCTATAAAGCGCTATATAAATAAAGGTGACTTAACTTGACTTCCAGAGAAAGAGAGAGAGAGGGGAAAAAAAACAACAAAAAAAACATACTCATTGGCACTTACAAGCCATCTGCATTGTCATCCAGCTCCAAAAAGGCTTCTGCCATTTTGGCTTTGTCCTTCTCCAAACGAATAGCTGCCTTTTGCTCTGTAATGAAGTGAAAAAACAGATTCGATCTATATAAATGCCAAATCACTGATGAAATGAGCCAACCTGCAAACTAAACACCTCAAGGCAATTTTCATATAATTAATGTGTAAATGATTTTGCATATATATATATATATATGTATATGGCTTAAAGAGATATAACCTTGCTTTGATTCGGAATATAAACAGCTGCACTCACCTTCCCAGGCCTTGAGATGGCGCTCTTTAGCTTCCTTCTCAGGCTGCTCTGCTGTCTCTTTCACTGTCCTCAGCACTTCAACTTTCTCATCGAGCTGTTTCTTATTTTCCTGCATATCAGTCACTTTAATCTACAGAAGAGACACAGCATTTTACACTTTCCAAAACTTTAAAAACTGCAGCATATCCAAGCAATTATTCAATGCCAGAACTAGATGATTTCTGTTGCATGTGAGAGTCAAAAAAAAGCAAAGCAAATATGATGGCAGCATTTCATCATGCTTGAAAACTGACATTCGCTAAGATTTCTGCAACACTAGCAGCTGAACAAACAGAAACATACTGTATAACCGGGTATAAAATATGAAACCAAAGCATTCTGACATCCCTGATGAGTGGGTTCATACAAAGCAAATCTTACCTGCTTTTCTTGATGTCCTTTCTTGGCTTCCTCAATGAGGTGCTGTTTTAGGAGAAAGCCCTCTTTGGTGATCTCAGTCATCTTCTGCAGAACTTCCCTCTCTTTACGTCCTAGTTCCCTGAGAACCAAACAAATCTCATACACTTCAATGTGTTTACAGCCATTGCATCATAAGTAAAAACGGAAATTAAAACAATGAAACAAAACAAATTGTTACATTTTCTCTCAGTTCTATGTTGTCATAAAAACAAATGTTTTTTGCATTTATTTATACAAAAAAACCTACAGTTGAAGAACATGCATTTTCACATTTAAACAGCTAGAAGGTGTGTTATTTAATATTTTATAGACTTCCATAGATTGATAGTTTACACAGTCAAGATGATTAAAACTGACATTGATCTGCTGCCATCAAACATTTCACTTTTTTTTTTTAAACAGGGAATCTTGGCACAACATTGAGATGCGGCACAATGGCCAAAGACAGTTACATTTTCTCTCAGTTCTATGTTGTCATAAAAACAAATGTTTTTTGCATTTATTTATACAAAAAAACCTACAGTTGAAGAACATGCATTTTCACATTTAAAAAGCTAGAAGGTGTGTTATTTAATATTTTATAGACTTCCATAGATTGATAGTTTACACAGTCAAGATGATTAAAACTGACATTGATCTGCTGCTATCAAACATTTCACTTTTTTTTTTTAAACAGGGAATCTTGGCACAACATTGAGATGCGGCACAATGGCCAAAGACATCTGTCTGGTGCACATGTATGCAATGGAGCACAAGAATGCGTCCCGTGTGAACGTCTCTTAATGTGCTTCTCTCTGGAAAGTAATTACTTTGGATCAGAACTCACTTGCAGGTATTTTCACATTTGGCTCCACTGTTGTACTCATCAGTAGTATCGCAGCAATCTGTGGAGAGGAAAGATTTCAAATGCAATGCCATTCCATTCACAGAACACTGCTGTGGAGAAATGTCCAAATGCAGAGTCATCTTACCACAGATGCCATCATTAATACGGGAGGATGGGATAAACATGGTCCTGTAACCAGCATTGGTGCAATGGAAGCTGCCATTCGGACAAGCAGCAGTGCCTGAGGACAGACATAAACAACTGTTATGCACACCATCTCCATGATACCATCAAACTGTACCGTATCACCGCTTTCTACCGGTCATGGACTTAAGAAAGATAGCTTACACAAAATATTACAATTCTGAGATTTGTTGTACTCAATCTCTCATCGAACACAAAATATTTAGCAGAATGTCCAAGCTGTTTTGTTCAACACAATGAAAGAGAATGTGGAACAGAAACAGCCATAGTCTCCATTCACTTTTATTGAATGAAAAAAAGAGTAGCTTTTGTATTCTGTTAGATATCTTCCTTTGTGTTCCATGCAAGTCATAAGGGATTGAATTTTCATCTTTTGGAGAACCCTGTAGCTTATCCCTTTGCAAACTTTATCCACATATACTTTACACATGTTAAAGATTGATTTATTTATCTTAACCTATACAGATATTAGCCTTTATTTGTTCTGTTTTTAGCACATTTTTAACTGCACAAATACAGTTCTGTTCATGAGTGTCTCGCAAGCATGCCAAAACTTCCGTTTACCGGATTTGATGTGCTATTTATATACACGTGTTGATCAATGTTTATATGTGAATAAAAGTAAAAACTAAATTAAATCTGCTTTTTGACCACGTCTCTTCAGAAGACTTGTATTAAACCAATGGATTACTTCTACAATGTATTGTGAAAGTTTCGGTCGCATGAATTTTCAAAGGAAGAATACAAAAATCTCTCAGATTTAATTTTCAGTATGTTTTTCTTTTGTGTTTTGAAGATCAACTAATGTCTTACGGTTAGGAACAACATGAGGATGAGTAATTGATCACGATTTTTGGGTGAACTAACACTTTAAATGTACAAACTAGACTTTTCAGGAAAACGTTTCACTGCTAAATGACTTTGAACATAAATCAGAGGTGAAAAGCTTTCAATTAAAGACCGGTAAACTAATCCATCTTAAATTATAAACTAAATTAAAAAAAAAAAAGAGTTCTGTAAGTACCTGGCTCATCTGAACCATCTTTGCAGTCACAGTAGTCATCATTCACTCGGTCAAAAGGAATAGTCCGGGATCCATCGAGACAGGTGAAAGGCTTGTTCTCCACATAAAACTGTTTCTCTATTTATTTATTTAGACAAAATAAGAGTTAAACCAGTATAAGAGTATACAGAATATACAATAAATTATATGACTTGTATACTTGTCAGTGGCACTCCACGGGGCCCTTGAATTTCTACAGGTGTCCCCAAGCTGACAGCAAAGACCAAAGTCAACAGCAGGTGCACGCAGGTCATGATGCCTCAGGAAATGTAGGAACAAAATGCAAACTCCCACTAGAGGCGCGTGACCTTGGAGCAAACTAAACAAATGCATTGTTCAACTGAACATCACAGTATATCTAATCATTCATAAATATACATCTCATACCAAACGTTTACAAAAGGCTAAACTGATTCATATTTTTCTTCAGCCAAATGATGGTCGCAGATAAATCCGTCTATAAAATGTATTCGCATCCTAGTTAATTCAATCTGAAATGGCTTCCGCGCGCACGGCCAACCCAACATACTGAAATACTTACCGATCTGAAATGATAAGCAATACAGTATCACGATGGCAAGTATTATGTGTCAATAAACATCGCGTAAATTAAATGTGCGATTGTTTAATTAGTCAAAGAAATCAACAACAAAAAAAAAACCTTTGTAAAACAGAAACTCATTACTTACTTCCGTAGAGCGTTCTTGCGCCGTGTATTACGTCACCAAGATGAGCGGTGTTTTCCGATGATTGGTGGATTCAAGCGGAGGAAGGCGGCATTGTGGGTAATGCAGTCATTAAAAAAAACGGATGTGTTTTTTTTTTTTTACCTCTTTTCACTCGGTCAAAAGGAATAGTCCGGGATCCATCGAGACAGGTGAAAGGCTTGTTCTCCACATAAAACTGTTTCTCTATTTATTTATTTAGACAAAATAAGAGTTAAACCAGTATAAGAGTATACAGAATATACAATAAATTATATGACTTGTATACTTGTCAGTGGCACTCCACGGGGCCCTTGAATTTCTACAGGTGTCCCCAAGCTGACAGCAAAGACCAAAGTCAACAGCAGGTGCACGCAGGTCATGATGCCTCAGGAAATGTAGGAACAAAATGCAAACTCCCACTAGAGGCGCGTGACCTTGGAGCAAACTAAACGCACAATGCATTGTTCAACTGAACATCACAGTATATCTAATCATTCATAAATATACATCTCATACCAAACGTTTACAAAAGGCTAAACTGATTAATATTTTTCTTCAGCCAAATGATGGTCGCAGATAAATCCGTCTATAAAATGTATTCGCATCCTAGTTAATTCAATCTGAAATGGCTTCCGCGCGCACGGCCAACCCAACATACTGAAATACTTACCGATCTGAAATGATAAGCAATACAGTATCACGATGGCAAGTATTATGTGTCAATAAACATCGCGTAAATTAAATGTGCGATTGTTTAATTAGTCAAAGAAATCAACAACAAAAAAAAAACCTTTGTAAAACAGAAACTCATTACTTACTTCCGTAGAGCGTTCTTGCGCCGTGTATTACGTCACCAAGATGAGCGGTGTTTTCCGATGATTGGTGGATTCAAGCGGAGGAAGGCGGCATTGTGGGTAATGCAGTCATTAAAAAAAACGGATGTGTTTTTTTTTTTTTACCTCTTGCACAAAATCAATAATATGATTAATAATAAACCAGTTACCATATATTTAAGCAAAAGCGTCCCACCAGCATTTAAACACTGACTCAGCTCCTTCAAACACTGTGACAGGATTATATCCTATTACGCATATATAATTGTAAACATATTTAGCCTATATTATTACAAGTAAACAGTTACAATTCATTAAAAAGCCTGTGATTAAAACAATTTGTGTTCAAGTGACGCGTGAAAGGCGGACTTATTCGCGCTCTGCTAAACTTGTTACGGCACAAAAAGTTGTTCAAAAATGTTTGTAAGGATTTAAATGTATAATGTCTTTGGTAATTTACATCTGACGACTTTTTTACCTAAAGTTTCAGGACTTCAGGTAGCTAAGTAGCCAGTAAACTTTGACAAATTGGCTGTGGCCGTATGATTATCACACTGTTAACTGGATTTCCACACGACTATAACAAACCATAGACTGTATAAAAACAAAACTGCAGCTATTACAATACCTTTAAACAAAGCTTCACTGTATCTTTGTCTAAAGTGCTGTGAACAGCTTTGCATGGTTTGAAATTTGATACAAATGATAGCTATCGAAAAGAAGCTTTGTAAACAAACAGCATTATGAATGGTTTAAGCAGCACTGTATGATGAATAATCAGTGTTGGGTAAGTAATGTAATTGATTGCTTTTTGATTACTTTTCTACATTTTTAATGAATGTTTTCAACTGTTAATCATTTTGAAACATTTAAAGCAGGTAGGGTTAACCTTACAGTAGTACTCAACACTGATAACTGTCAGACTTTCAAAATCCTTCATTGCTTGAATTAAGATTATAATAATTTAATTTTAAAGCACAGCCACCTCAAAATCAGACTTTAGCACCTCTTTTTACTTTGAGATCATTCTGCGGTTAAATACTGATTTAAAATCATAACAAGATATAGTTTAATAGCTATGATAATGTTTTTGAAATAAAATCTTTGCATAGCTATGACAGGAATCACTGGCATCTAACAATGAAAAATAAAAAACAATTAAGTAGGCTATGCATAAACCCAAATAGGAAATAAAACAGTTATCAAATAAGCATGTGTCCTATTCTGTGTCCTAAACCCCTGAAACATTGGTGTCTCGTATTTCAGAGCAGTCAATGTAATTTGGGAAAGAAATCAATCAAATCTGTATGTGTGTGAAAATATTCAGATGTAATCCTTAACATTTTCAATATTATAATAGTATATCATAATTTAATTACACATTTTTTTCTCAGTAACTGTAACATATCATAGTTACATTTATTTTGTAATTAAATGGCATAATACCGTAACTTATGTAACTAGTTACTCCACAACACTGTGAATAATTGACTACTGAATTTTTGCTTTAATGCAGCCAGGTCAAAAGAAGAAAAGAGGAGGTCATGGGGATGGAACAGGAAGTTATATGCAGGTGAGAGAGAGAAAATACTGGATGTTATTCTATACATGATCAGTCCCTTATACAAGGGTTAGGGTTTGGTTGCTTACTTGCTTGCAATTATGCATAATTTGCTTTTATTACTAACATATGTAACAAATGTAATAAGCACATTTTAAAACAAAGCATTATCAAAACATTTAAACAATATGTTCATCTTATTCTTGTAAAAAGCACCTTACAATGCTAAACATATAGGGAAATGCAAGTTCTAGTGAAGGTGCCCAACTCTGCCCCCTTTCTCTAATTTAAAGACATTTTTATATTCTCTCTAATCTTTTCAAATATGATGACAGTGAGAATATTCTATTCTTAATTATATAGATTTTTTTAATTTAAAAATATCACAGGTCCTATACAGGACAGGTTCAGAGTGTATAAATGATTAAGCTACTAAAAATGTTAAATTCAACAATTGTGTTTTACAGAGCCGTTTGTGTCTAAATAAAGTCAGTATGTAGGGGTCAGTAAAGTGTCACCATTGAGCAAAATAGCCTCAACGCTACCATTTTGCTAAATACCACTTCATTCTCTAAGCAGATGATGCAAAATATTTTCAGTGTTTGCTGTCATGAGGTGTGTAATGATCATACACAGAAATCAGCCTGCTTACATCTATCAGTTATGAGATGGCACATGGAGGATAGTGCAATTATTAGAAAAAATCGTCCTTTATTTGTATTTTCAACACACTTTACAGTACTGAACAGTGAAAGAAAAAAATATACTGGTATATATTTAAATATTTGCTTTTTTATATATATAGCTGTTTGCTTATTAAATGCATTTTATTCACAAAATGACAACTTAGTTCTCTCGGAGGAAAACCTTTCATAAAAATAATATAATATAAAATAACTTGGGACACATTATACACATTACAGCAATATAATGTACAAATATTACAATCATTTTCCTGTGTTTTCTTTTTCATTTATATTATTACCATAACGTGTGAACAAGTAACATATTATTTAAAGCCCAGAGAAAAATTTCATTGGAGAGTCTCATGAGGCATGTAAAAGTACATTGTACTTCAAAGTACAAAGAAAAACTGTTCTCTGATGAAGCCACGTCATCTTTCTGACTGTTTCTTGGTCATTAACCTCACAGAAGTATTTAAAACCCTATTAAAAGCCATTACAGTCCAGATTATTGACACAGGGTAGCTGATGTTGTTCAGTGCTTTAGCAGAAAATGGCATTGAGGACCAAAGAGATGACATTTGGACCGAGCCATTTAAAGTGCTTACCCTGTGCCATGCTATACAACACTCTATACCATTCCCCCTGATATCAGCCATCTCACAACAACTTCCTACAGAAAAAATAAAGTGCTGGTAAAGACAAGTTTTAGAAATAACGAATGATTAGTCTGTTTTCCAATACAATTCAAATATTCACATTTAAAGGTGGTGAGAGGTTGACTAAAATCCCTCAAATGAATGGCAGGGAGATGACAGGAGAAAGAAAGGGGAAGGTGGAGGGTGCTTATGAAATTCCACAATTCAACTACAGTTCATTACAACTAAAAGTGATTCATTGTGACAGTGATTGATTCTGAGAGATCTCAAATGTACAATTCAACATTACAGTATATACAAAACAAGCAGTGATTTGTCTACTATTTATATTAGATAGTAGTTTTTTATTATTATTTTCAAACCATCAAACCAGAATGATACAAAAATAAAAACTGTACACAAACTGTTCAAAGAAAACACTTGTTTTTCCTTTTGATATCCAAAAAGAATGGCAGCAAGGAATTAATTTGAATAATTTCTTAATAAGAAACAATTGCTACAGTGTCGTGTTAAAATGGCAAATATTATTTGTTAGCGTAGTGCTCACAACATTAACAAAAAGCCACACAACAAAGCAATTTTAAGGTAAGACAGGCAAATGTATATGGGAATGTCATCAGTTCGCACAAACCGATCGTGTAACCTCAGGCTTTCATCCGGTGGTCCTCCAAATGAAAACTTATACCATGACATCCTCTAATCCTGTCACAGACAAATACAGTTATCACATACGTACTGGAATGACCTCAAGTTTCTGCTCTGACAGGCACGGGCTTGTGTAAAGCTAAGCTACTGACCAGCAGAAACTAGCTTGCCATCGTATTTCAAGAGGGATGCTCACAAACGCTGTCCCAAAATATAGCAACAATTGGTTCATTCAACTGAACTAAAAATCAATCAATCAATCTGAGAGAGGCAATATTGCAAATCTAACATCAACCTGAGAACTCACTCTCATTCTTACTTTCTATCTCTCTCGTTCTCCCTTTAAACGTTGGTGAAAAGTCAAATAGACACCACTAAAAGATGCTGGACATGAAATACGTTAGACAGAGGAACAGACAGTTTAGTTTAATGGTATGACCTGCTTTCTCTGTCTGTACTTCATTATAGTCACTTTGCCATGCAGAAAAAATACCCTACACCTCCAGATGGAGCTATTGTGTATTCACAGACATTTAGCAAGGCATATAGACATGAAACAAATAATCTGGGATGTAATGCCAACATCTTATTATTCCACAATATGACTACCCTGCAGTTGACATTAAGGCAAAAAAGCATCAAACTCAATATGGCTGCATGTGAATTGTTTTATCTGTCTTTCCATCTATCTAACCATCAACGTCTTTCTCTTTGAGATATGCCTCATCTTCTCTCACCATCCTCTCTTCTAGCCACCGATCAAGGCTTTTCCAACTTATCATTCCTTTGGCAAAACATAATGCAGTGTGTTGTGGTGTAGAGAATGTATTACCAGCATGAGTGGGTGAAGGTGAGAGAGTCTGTGTGAATGTGTGCTGCAATTGAGGAGACTGTTGCTTTTACAAATTTGGCAGGAATGGATATAACAAAACAAAACAAAACAAAAAGAAGGCAAAACATATGTCACATGGCTTATCCTCAGAAAGTGACTATCATTAATTATTCACATGGAAAGTGAGGGCAGTCCGTGAGCAGTGACGGTGATAAATCTAATCTAGGCCCTAAATGCTCGGTTGGATTGAAAGCGACCGAGGAAGACTGACAGATGAGAGCAGGAATTATCACAAAGACAATGTGAATGCTCCATGCCGGCACGAACCATATTCGATGGAGATAGATTGCTTAAAAATAGAAAGAGACAATCAAAAATGAAGACAAAAGCAGACACTCCTGTCCCACGATGCATTGCTTCACAACAGCTCCAGAGTTGAAGCTGGTGGTTCAGAAAGGCACACGGCCATCTTGCACTGGTAGCACTCCTGGGTAAAGGGTAAGAGGGGGTGGGACCCACTAGCAAATCATTTCCAACATACTCATCCCTCCACAGTCTTCTGGGCAACACGTGTTATCTTATTTTCTCCTGGCAGATGCAACTGTGTTCTCTCTATGACAGAAATTGGAAAAAGTCTCTCAGATTTCACTCAGCATGTGAATTCTGAGGATTTA